CAACGGGAAATTGTCATTGAAATTTGAAAGTCAAGGCTTCCAGCGGGACTCCGGGCCATCCCTCGGCCGTGTCTCCGGCAGGGGACCGCCGAGAACCGACAGAGTGCACGACCATGTTCTTCCAGTGGATTTCCAATCCAGCGGGACTTCAACCCATCCCTCGGCCGTGTCTCCGGCAGGGTACATCCAAGAACCGCTGATGGAAAGGTGTGCTTCCTAGTATAAGCCAATCCAGCGGGACTCCGGGTCATCCCTCGGCCGTGTCTCCGGCAGGGGACCGCCAAGAACCGACACAGTGCACGACCATGTTCTTCCAGTGGATTTCCAATCCAGCGGGACTTCAGGCCATCCCTCGGCCGTGTCTCCGGCAGCGTACATCCAAGAACCGCTGATGGAACGGTGTGCTTCCTAGTATAAGCCAATCCAGCGGGACTCCGGGTCATCCCTCGGCCGTGTCTCCGGCAGGGGACCGCCGAGAACCGACACAGTGCACGACCATGTTCTCCCAGTGGATTTCCAATCCAGCGGGACTTCAGGCCATCCCTCGGCCGTGTCTCCGGCAGGGTACATCCAAGAACCGCTGATGGAACGGTGTGCTTCCTAGTATAAGCCAATCCAGCGGGACTCCGGGTCATCCCCCGGCCGTGTCTCCGGCAGGGGCCTGCCAAGAACCGACACAGTGCACGACCATGTTCTTCCAGTGGATTTCCAATCCAGCGGGACTTCAGGCCATCCCTCGGCCGTGTCTCCGGCAGCGTACATCCAAGAACCGCTGATGGAACGGTGTGCTTCCTAGTATAAGCCAATCCAGCGGGACTCCGGGCCATCCCTCGGCCGTGTCTCCGGCAGGGGACTGCCAAGAACCGACACAGTGCACGACCATGTTCTTCCAGTGGATTTCCAATCCAGCGGGACTTCAGGCCATCCCTCGGCCGTGTCTCCGGCAGGGTACATCCAAGAACCGCTGATTGTACAGGGTTCTTCCTAGGATAGTCAATCCAGCGGGACTCCTGGCCATCCCTCGGCCGTGTCTCCGCCAGGGTACAGTCAAGAACCGACACAGTGCACCACCATGTTCTTCAAGTTTATATACAACAAAATGATAATAATAATAATAATAATAATAATAATAATAATAATAATATAATAATAATAATAAAACAAAATAATGATGATAATAATAATAATAATAATAATAATAATAATAATAATAATAATAATAATAATAATAATAATAATAATAATAATAAATCCAGCGGGAATCCGGGCCATCCCTCGGCCGTGTTTCCGGCAGGGTACATCCAAGAACCGCTGATGGAACAATGTTTTTCCTAGTATAATTTAATCCAGCGGGACTCCGGGTCATCCCTCGGCCGTGTCTCCGGCAGGGTACATCCAAGAACCGCTGATGGAACGGTGTGATTCCTAGTATAAGCCAATCCAGCGGGACTCCGGGTCATCCCTCGGCCGTGTCTCCGGCAGGGGACTGGCGATACTCGATGGTTGCACAGTTTTCCTTCCGAAGATGAGCAATCAATCAAGCGGGACTCCGGGTCCGTCCTCGGACGCTTCTCCGGCAGGGGACTGGCGATAATCGCTGGTGGTACAGTGTGCTTCCTAGTATAAGCCAATCCAGCGGGACTCAGGGTCATCCCTCGGCCGTGTCTCCGGCAGGGGACTGGCGATAATCGATGGAGGCACAGTTTTTCTTCCGAAGATGACCAATCAATCCAGCGGGACTCCAGATGCAACCTCGGCCGTGTCTCTGGCAGGGTACAGTCAAGAACCGCTGGTGGTACAGTGTTCTTCCCAGGATAGCCAATCCAGCGGGACTCCGGGTCCGCCCTCGCCCGTGTCTCCGGCAGGGGACTGCCGAGAACCGACACAGTGCACCACCATGTTCTTCAAGTTTATATACAACAAAATAATAATAATAATAATAATAATAAATCCAGCGGGACTCCGGGTCATCCCTCGGCCGTGTCTCCGGCAGGGGCCTGCCAAGAACCGACACAGTGCACGACCATGTTCTTCCATTAGATTTCCAATCCAGCGGGACTTCAGGCCATCCCTCGGCCATGTCTCCGGCAGGGTACAGTCAAGAACCGCTGGTGGTACAGTGTTCTTCCCAGGATAGCCAATCCAGCGGGACTCCGGGTCCGCCCTCGCCCGTGTCTCCGGCAGGGGACTGCCGAGAACCGACACAGTGCACCACCATGTTCTTCAAGTTTATATACAACAAAATAATAATAATAATAATAATAATAATAAATCCAGCGGGACTCCGGGTCATCCCTCGGCCGTGTCTCCGGCAGGGGCCTGCCAAGAACCGACACAGTGCACGACCATGTTCTTCCATTAGATTTCCAATCCAGCGGGACTTCAGGCCATCCCTCGCCCGTGTCTCCGGCAGGGGACTGGCGATACTCGATGGAGGCACAGTTTTTCTTCCGAAGATGACCAATCAATCCAGCGGGACTCCAGATGCAACCTCGGCCGTGTCTCCGGCAGTGTACAGCCAATAACCGCTGATGGAACAGTGTTCTTCCTAGGATAACCAATCCAGCGGGACTCCGGGTCATCCCTCGGCCGTGTCTCCGGCAGGGATCACTCAAGAACCGCTGATGGTACAGGGTTCTTCCTAGGATAGTCAATCCAGCGAGACTCCAGGCTATCCCTCGGCCGTGTCTCCGGCAGGGTACATCCAAGAACCGCTGATGGAACAGTGTTTTTCCTGGTATGATTCAATCCAGCGGGACTCCGGGTCATCCCTCGGCCGTGTCTTCGGCAGGGGACTGGCGATACTCGATGGAGGCACAGTTTTTCTTACGAAGATGACCAATCAATCCAGCGGGACTCCAGATGCAACCTCGGACGTGTGTCTGGCAGGGTACAGTCAAGAACCGCTGGTGGTACAGTGTTCTTCCTAGGATAGTCAATCCAGCGGGACTCCGGGTCCGCCCTCGGCCGTGTCTCCGGCAGGGTACATCCAAGAACCGCTGATGGAACAATGATTTTCCTAGTATAATTTAATCCAGCGGGACTCCGGGTCCGTCCTCCGCCGCTTCTCCGGCAGGGGACTGGCGATACTCGATGGAGGCACAGTTTTTCTTACGAAGATGACCAATCAATCCAGCGGGACTCCAGATGGAACCTCGGCCGTGTCTCTGGCAGGGTACAGTCAAGAACCGCAGATGGTACAGGGTTCTTCCTAGCATAGTCAATCCAGCGGGACTCCGGGCCATCCCTCGGCCGTGTCTCCGGCAGGGTACATCCAAGAACCGCTGATGGAACAATGTTTTTCCTAGTATAATTTAATCCAGCGGGACTCCCGGTCATCCATCGGCCGTGTCTTCGGCAGGGGACTGGCGATACTCGATGGAGGCACAGTTTTTCTTCCGAAGACGAGCAATCAATCCAGCAGGACTCCAGATGCGACCTCGGCCGTGTCTCTG